ATAAGTTCAATGCCAAGGTCAAAACGGCCACGGCTCGCAGCCGTGTCGGTCTCTCGCTCTCGCGATATTACTCGTCGCTCGCCGAGAGAAGTGTGATCGTCGTCGTCGTCGTGTGTGTGTTCCGTGCTCCTCTGATCGTGTGTACCCTCTCGTCGCCGCCGCCGTCGTAGTCGTTCCCATCCGCTGGCTGGCTCTCGAGTATTCATCACTGCGCGCTTAACCTTGCCCGTCGCGCGCGCTTTTCCTTTCCTTGGTCAGGACGCAACGCGTGCCGCCTTTACGCACCCGCGACTTCTTTTCTTCTTTACCGTACGTGCACGGATTAACCTACATACGGGGCTGTCATCCACGCGCAACTTCGACGCACGGTGCGCAGAATTCCTAGAGCCTAGAATGACGGGATTAAACGGAAAGATAAAGATACATTTTGTAGCGCAGTTTGTCAGTGTACTACAAAGAGGAGCAAAGTGGAGCTATCGGGTCGGATAAAAACGCTTTGAGCCTGCGGCATCTTCGTGGTGCGGGGCCCTTAGTACTGGCGTATCCGGATACTTCGCAGCAGTCGCGACGTGACGTCAAGCGATATCCTCGCTTCTTCCCCAGTGGAGGACAGAGCGCAGGAACATTGACGGGAAACGAAAATGGCCATACGGAAATTGGTGTATAAACGTCAAACTATGCGCAATCGATCGGAAATGTTCGTGGGTTATCGCGACCGGTCGCGGGAACCGCCTGTATGCGGAGGCAAGGTCGTGACAGGTGCGTGGAACATATTCGAGAGGAGGATGAGAACGGGACGTCCTGCGCGACGAATGCGGATGCGCATCAAGCGAAGAATGGATATAAACTATCGTAGCTTCTCTCTCTCCCTCCCTCTTACACGCACACTCTCTCCCTCCCTCCCTCTCTCTTTCTCTCTCCGTTCTCTCCCCGCGATCATGCTTTGACGTCACGAGACAAGATGGCGGTTTTCGGTAGTCCCGGGACAGTTGTTAAAGCTCTCTGCGCCGGGATGGTCGACATTTCTGGATGACACGAACAGACCAGGTGAAATATCTATCATTCTTAGCTATTCTGGCTAGATTATTTATCCCTACCGCGGAGTTATTACGGAATTGATCGTTGCAACCCCGTTCCCGTGAAAAGTGCGTCGCATCGACACTTCGAAACGTCAGTACGTGTTTACGACACATTCGCCTCGGCCGTGGCGAACCCCATTCTCGAATGCGTTGCTCGGGCAGACGGTAGAGCTTTATCGCGAAACGTTAATGCGTCTAACCGAGCAAACGACCGGTACACACGAGCCGTCACTGTCAAGGTTACCGCTGTAAATCACGCGAACGAACCTATATTCTTCGGCCGTCGTTATATGGTTAACGTGCCCGGGGATACGGTCGGTGCATCGCTCAACTAGATAATCTATAATCGTTATAGCGCTATTATGATGTAAGCTAGTCCCTACGCTTCGCAACATGATCAATTGGCTATGCGGATTCCCCGAGTTCTCGTTACGATTGCCCGTTTCTTTCTCCTCTCTCGGCATTGCCACGGCCGCTATCGATTACTGTGCTATATCTATCGTCGGTGTAGCTTGGATTTAACCTTGACCCTTGTTCTCCGACTCTTGCACGAAAGACTCTCAGTACTTTCAGCGGGGGCAGCACATCGAACATTGATATTTTTCTAACAAATTTCTCGCCGTTCCGTACTTTATTTCGCCACATGGAATAGGTTAACCTTTTTCCGGTTGTGCTCCACTCGTATCTCCCCTTGTCTTCCACGAAGCTGCCCTTTTTTTCTCCGGTCACCGCTTACGTAAATATATTAGGGTTCACTGAAGAATCCAACATATGTTTCAGCGTGTCGCGCGTAATTTCGAAGGGAAACTAACTTTGTGCAATTTAAGCGAGTTTTCTTTCTTATTAGCTATTCACTTTAATGTAAAGTGGAAGTTTTATTATACTTCGTTAATTTTCGTTTGCTCGGTTAGCGTTCCGTCGTAACAGTTCCTGAATTTTAATTACCTTACGACGATCCGTTGCATAATCAACGACGGCTGCAGATAATCGCCGCGACTTACGACAGTTTTCGTGCTTCGTTTCGTGGCGATATATACCGTCGTTTCCGCAGTACGCGTACGATGCGACATAACCGAAATTATATTCGAAGCCATCGCTTCTTGTGTCCCGCGTAATTTTGCGTGCACCGTAGTCTCGATACTATTTTTTCATAGAATTTATATATTACGAAAAATGAATTTTATAATCCAAGTTTCACTCGTATGTGTATTCAATGTGGACAAATTTCGTTGAATAACAGACGACAAGAACAGGTCAGCATAGACTACAGATAAACTGTGTAAATGATGTCTCCAATGGTTTTGCTCCAGCATTCGAGTTTCACGCGAACTTGAATTTTACCGTCTTCCTGGTGTCTATCGGTTTACATGATCGCAACCGTGAATCTCGATAAACATTCCGTGTCTGCAACGCCCCCAATGTATTTTCGATGCAGCTGCCTTGAGGTTTATTTTTAAACGTCAGTTTTTCTGTTTCCGTTGCGGTTCAGCCGTGTCGAATCGACGACACGTTTCAACCCCTGTAATTCGCACGACTTCTCCGGCCATCTTGTAATCGTCGTGTATTTCGTTTCGGTTGCAGGTGACAAATTTCGCCTGGTGCTCGCGACGACCTTGAGGGAAGACGGTTATCCAGATGGCGGGGAGTGGAATGCGACGGAACAGGAAGGAGGTTCTAGGGCAGACAGTTTTGAGTACGTGATGTCCGGCAAGGTTTATCGGATCGAGGGTGACGAGGCGAGCAACGAGCCCAGCAGCAGACTGTAAGTATCCCAACGAATATCATTCCATCTTATGAACGGTGGTAATCAAGACAGAATAAAATTTGGATTCAAAACCAAGACGAATAAATTTCATTGAATAAATATATTCGATACATGTTACATTACAAAGTCGAATTTCCTTGCTATGAAGTATCGAACTCGAAAGTAACGCGAGACACCAAATACGGTAAAATTTTATAGACATTAGAGTTACGCCATTCTTATCAGCCTGGTCATTACACGGTAGCCATTTTGGAATATCAAATTCAAACAGGAAAATATATTAATTGTCCACGCAACGCAATAGTTGGAATATTAGTACTTAGTAGTACTATTAGTACCACTTAATAGTTCTTTGCATTCAAACTGAAATAAAACGATTTGTGATTCACTCTCTATTCCAATGAAACAGGAATACTAATTATTAAGCGCATCTTACAGTGACGTGAATCATGGAATGCTCAGAACGTGTGCTACACCGACAATACTATTTTATTCTGTTACGATCCGCTTTAATCACACCGCGTACGTAGTGCGTGCCTGCGTGCACGCACGCGTCACACTGTGACGTCACTCGTACTCGTCGAAGCGCGTAATCGGCACTCTCTTTCTGCTGTGAATCTCTGATTGGCTCGCTTCCAGTGCTCAATGAAGTCTCATGAGTTTTTCAAACACTCTAGATCCGGAGACTTCCTATGCGAAAAGCATTACGCACGTGTTGTCAAAGTTGCTAAGCGTTGACCGCTTGCATAATGACTGCTATACACAACGCAAATAATTGTGCGTTAAGGAGCCCTAGACTGAACAACATACCAATGTTAAATAGAGAAGTCTGTGTTTCTTGGAATTTTTCTATTGAAAAACTACTTAATAACCAAAAAAGGAAAATAAAAATAAAGGTGCACCTAAGAGTGTTGCCTGGTATGAAACGATAATTAAAATTGCAGGTGCAAACTATGAATTAACTGTCGGCCACCGGTGACCGTCGCAACACTGAATACTCTCGAAACCGATTAAAAGTATATCACCATAATAATTCAACCATAATAAAAAACATTTTAACCCCAAAGGTTAAGTTGATAATAGAAAAGTAACATTCAGTTTATATTTAAAAAAATAAATAACACTTAGATTTCCCAAATTCAGAATTGTCGTCACGAGCCTGACACGGTATTATAGAACAAGGGGTTGAAAATCGTTTGCAAATAAGTCCACCAAACATCATCCCTGGATCTCAGACGGCGCCCATCGTTGGCACTCTTAGCGAATCGCTAGGGGGATAGGCGAATTCGCAACGCGGGGAGAAAGGGGTTCTCAGATAACCCTGACTTGACCGACTTATCGCGTGACCTTGAAACTCGAAGCCTACCGGCGGCGCAACGGGGCACTCGGCGTATGCAAAATACCGCTTTGATGTTTAATCGGCGAACAGGTTGCCGGTGTCGCGCGAAAAACGTATCTCGTCCCTCCGGGACTGTTTGCGACTCTCGTCATTGTCCGGTTGCGAATGGGAGGAGAGTGTAGCGTCGTCGTTGACGGCGCTCGATAAGATAACGGCTGTTCGCGCGCGCCGAGGGGCTTTCAAACGTCGCGCCATGCTTATGTAACATTGTCTTCCTGCGCGGTCGCGCGCGCAGCCGCCCGTATTTTTCCGTTAAAATTGTTTTCTTTTGAATTCTCGGTGGTTCGAAACTGGCACCAAGAATGATCGACGACGCGAATCGGCAATTAATCATCGACGAGAGCCTCGGAGCTCTGCTATCGGCAATATATTTCTCGCGCGTCAGTCGATGGTAAAAAAGTAACCGAACGGCGAACCGATGTTTGTTGATAATTAGTGGAATAATGCTTGTTTTCTCGAGACGTCGTTAGAGATTAACGACTCTAATTGAATTACTAGATATGAATAAAATTCATTGCTATGCTTAATTACCAGAAGGCACTGTTATATGTTATAGAATTTGACACTAGGACTACCAGATAAGTGAAAATGACCCATTCCTTGATTTCTTCTTTCGTGATTACTAAAACGGTACGAACACCTCTTTGAGAAATTACTAAACAGCTGATTAAGTAATATCTACGCTGAAATTTAAAGCGATTCGAATCTTAATAAACCTACGTTTGCAGTTTTTATAAAGAAATTGTCATGGGTCGGTTTGTTTTCGGTAGTCCTAGTGTTCACTGATCAATTTGGTATTCCTGAGTTGTACATTATAGCTGTGCTTCAGTTGTAAGGACAACTTCATTGAGGGAAGTGTTAGAATACTGTCAGGTGCTTAACGCCACCTGGCAGCTCTTCCCGTCGTAAAAATAATAGTGACGGTTCGCAGTTTGTTGTTTAGGGGATGGTCCCGTTGCGTATGTTACCCAACGAGCAATATCCACCATCCAACCCCTGGCGAGAGCTCTTCGTTATCGATTTATCGATCTCTTCTTTGTACGGTAATCCCATCTTAATATCTCGGTACACATGTCCCGTTCAGTTACTATCAGATATTTTATCTCATATTCTCCGTCGATCCGTGTCGGGATCTCGGGCTAAAGATCTCATTTCAAAGATCTCATTTCAAAGATCGATCGTTCATCTGGTCTGACTGCAGTCTCTTATCGTTATTTTGTACCGTTCGGATTTTATCTAATTACTAATGTCAATCAAATTCACATCTGTCAGAGAAAGTCCAGCAGATATCTACAAATGATTCGTGAATTCGTGATTCCATTAATACTAGAGAACTACTGATCACATAAACTGACTTTCACAAACCTTATAAAAACCATAAGCGTGCGTTTATTTTGAGATTTCAATTGAGTTGCATTTCAGTTTCGCTATTACTGAATTAGTTCCGTTAATAATTTTTCGTAGAAGTATATGTACCTTTTCAGTAAAAGAGGAAATCAGAAATAAGTCATTCTGACCCATCTGGTAGTTCAAGTGTTAAGCTTCTGCCATTTTGAAATGTGGCTACTGGTTATCTTCCAAGATCACTCTATCAACTAAGAAGAATGTCAAGAATATCATACGAAGGAAATTTCACTTCAGGGCTTTTAAAAAAAAGGTGTTCCTGTAAGTTGTTATGTGGTGACTCTAATTTCATCGATGTCCAACGAAGAATACCAACGACTACTCAGCCGGTAAATCAAACGTTAGAAGAATTGTGTTTAGAATATGTTGCGTGTTAAGGGGATGAGAAGCGGGTCCCTCTGTTTTTTTTGAACGAGTCTCGTTTAGAAGCGCATGCGCACACGGATGATATTGGACACCAGACACGGTCGGTAAAAACGGGAACGGAAACGAGAACCATGACGAGCTCTCGGAGGACAGGGAGCCACTCTGCGTTCACTCAGTAGGTAATGAAGTGGGTGAACACAGCTGGTGGTTACTCAGTTTTCTGAGGGCGTTGGCAACCCATCGAGAGAGCGAGAGAGAGTTACCTGCCGGCACCTGTAATCCCATGGAGAAAGAATACCTTGGGACAAGTGAGACGAGATTCACTGGGAGCAGAAACTTCAAAAGTGATATCCTGAAACCCATCGCAGAATACATAGCTGCTATCTACTCCGAATGACAACACACGTGCAAATGTGACAATAGGTTCTCATTTGCATGAGATAAACGATGCAAGTGGAAATTTTATCGCACGAGTTCTTCAGCAGACTGTAAAAATTATCAGAAATGGTATAATTGAAACAGTGGTAATAGGAATGTTTGAATACGTAAATGATCCAGTATAGAACCTTAGAGAACTTCGCGTTGAACAAGAAGTATTTGTAATGATCTACAATGATCATGCTCCATGTTTCGAATCTCATTTCTCTAACGCATGAAAGATTCGTAAGAAGAAAGAGGTGACTTACTATAGGCGATGATCTGAGACATCCATTCTCCATTTTTCTCTTCCTGCGTCACCAAGAAGGCGTGACTCATTGGAGAACAATGACGGGCGAAGGTCACACGTTTGATCTCCATATACTGTAATATTCCAACGGGAATAGTAACCATGTGTGATCAGTACTTTCACGTTTGTGATGCATCGTTTCTGTCTTTGTTATTCCCCGAAAAAATGGCGGTGGCATAATATCCACGTGATTCACGGTGGCAAAGGTAGGATCTCCAGTCGCCATTAGGATTGCGTACGCCTTTGTCGATGGCGTGAATCCACCAAACAGGGGCGTGACAACTCGGAAATGAATTATTGATCGGGGTCGCCGGTGGCCCTAGGATGGATATAGCTATATAATCCTCTGGCGAACGGGACGACGCGCACGCACGAGGCGCCATGTCTGCGTTCGCCGGGCATGTCCTTACATGTCCCGTTTCGATGCTTCGACCGTGACCGTTTGTTCAAGATACAGTATTCGTCCGAAAGGTGCGTCCAACTAGATACTTCCTTTATTATTAATCATTTCAGGACAGAGAAAGAAATTATTCATTGCATTAGCTTGTTGTGTCTAAGGATTCGGTATTTGTGAACGCAGAACATTCAGTATTTTCAATGTTTACTTAAGAAATTCTAAGCGATACCAAAATACGAGAAAATCGTTTAACTTTTATTATCGTCGCTTCAATACTGATATTCGAGAATCCTTTTCACTTCGATGAAGTTGTCTAGTCTTGAAACCGGATTGTTTCATCAATATGTAAGTTGCGCGGGCACTTGATGCTTCTATTAGTGTCGCTAATCGTGTTGGCAGAGATTGTTGGTAATATTTCGAGCGATAGTTAGCGATATTAGTAATATTTTTAGCTTTACGAGCGCAGCGGTGAGGTTTCATATATTTTTTATTGCGCGCGCCTGCGCGATCGCAGTCACGTATTCGAATTAGTCCCGCGCGGTGCGCTAGAATGCGCACAAGGTCGTCGGGGCTGTCAAAATCAGCTGACGCGCTGGTGGCCAACCAGCTGATCCTCAAGCTCTCGGCAGGAGATGCTTCTATCCTGAACCGTCGATCCTTGAGAAACGCGC